CACGCCCCATAATCACAGCTCTATGGAGCAGCATCAGACTCATTCTGACTAGAATTGAGTAGGACTACGTTAGGCTAGGACTAATTATCTTCACCAAGAAGATAATTTATTAAAGAGGGTTTGTGTTTGCCTGTCTGCTGGGTATAGGATAACTTGAAAAGTAAGAGACCAGTTTTTATGAAATTTATATCAGATGTGTCCCTCGGGCCAAAGAACAGTTCATGAGATTTTGGTGATGATTCAGATCATACTCTGGATAAGGATATTTGTAAAAATTCTCTACGATTGTTAAATAAGGATATTTAGAATATATTATTTGAAATATAGAGGTACTTTGTTTTTCAATGTGTAATGGAATTGGTTTGGTCAGCAGAACATCTAAAAATTAACAATAAAGAAGTTAAATGTAGTCTGATGAGATAAGAAACATTTATATTTAAAGAGTTAATGGGCCCTAAAATGTTTCATTTACATATTTGTTGCTCTTGGTGGTGTGTATTTTTTTATTCCTGAAATGTTTAAATGTCATTTTGGCTGAAAAGTGAGAATTTGCAAACATGTTGAAAAAACATCTCATATCCAAGCTTTGGTGCAACACAGCACTCAGCGGTGTGGCAGCATTCTGATTAGCTGACTCACCCCATAAAGGTCAGGTTGAACCGAATAGGCAGCTGGAAGTCCAGCTGAATGGTGGCACACTGGTGGTAGCGTCCAATTGCGTCTTTGATCTTAATGTCAATCTGCAACAGCACAGAAAAGAATTGCAGACCCTCAGAGAGTTGGTCTGGTCTCGTTTTTTTTTTTCCCTTTTAATTTTGCCGGGAAGGGCATTCACACTGACCTTGGGTCCATAAAAAGCTCCATCTCCAGGGTTGAGTTTCCATGGTTCCCCAAACTCATTCAGACTGTTTTCCAGTTGCTGTTAAACAGGAAGCATTATATGATTGTTGTTTTTTTTAGAAATATAAAAACCAATTGCTGTCTTTCCCAATTAATATCAACTTATGTAACATTAGCTGCACAGTCATAGTCCGTATTAAACATATGAGTAATGAATCGCCCAAAACACCTCCCACAGAGATTCAAGGAACTTGACATGACTCACAGATGTGCTACTATTTGATGAGGTGAAAGTAAACCAAATCTCAAAAGTAGAATTACTTTTCTCATCTACAGGGTAAAAACTGACAACAGTAAGAAATACGAAATCAAAACGGGTAAATTTAGAACGTTTTCTAGAAGTAATTTCTCCTCTCATCTAAGAGGCTTCTTCAGTTCTAACTAGTAGTGGGGTGCACTGAGATTAATATACTGTAGGTAGAAGAAAGAAATAGGGGAGAGCAAAAGGTGGCTCTAACTCCCCGCTCAAACCATCTTTCATCTTTGAAAATGGACGTTGTTGTCCTCAAATGACTGTCCTTTAGCCTTCAGGTGTAGGTGAACCGTTGACTTCTCTCCTGAGGAGTTGGCCATGCTGTATTGAGCCATGCACCTGAGTAGCTGATGCTTGGTCTCTCCAAAGTAAAGGTCTGTGCACTCTTCACTATAATGAACAGCGTAAATGACGCTGTCTATCTTGTTTCTGGGTGACTTGCAGGGCTGAAACAATCGTGAATATTCGACTACCAAAATAATGGTCAACTAATTTCGTAATTGATTAATTGTTAACTGGAGTTTAAAACATCCTAACTTGCCTTTAGCTGACAGAGTGACCCACTCAGAGAAGGCTATTAATTATATCAAGAATATAAAAGAAAGATGAAAACATTTTGTATTTAAGATAAATAAAAAAACAATTTCCATCTTTCAATATGCTTTTTCCAGAACTTCTCATGTGGAAAAGTTTTACTATCACTTGGTTTAATTCTGAAAAAAATCCTCTATAAAGAACCTCTGATTATTGATTGATGAATTGAAAAAATAATTGACAGATTGAGCAATTTGCGAAATAATCATTAGTTGTTGCCCTAGTTTCCCATCTTTGGGGTGAACCAGTTTTTGTCTCAGGGTGTTGCCGGGTTTGAAGAGCACAGGAATCTAGTGCTGGTTGAAAATCCTCCTGAGCTTTCCAGAGTCTCCAGCAACATATGGAATAAAGAATGAATAAATCCTTCTTCTGTTCTCTTCCCTCTCAGCAGACCTCTTCTTTTTGTTTTAAAAAAAAAAAAGGCAATCTGGGATAACCACATTTCTTCAGGACTGTCCTAATGTGCACCTGTTCTCTTATCTTCCCTCTGTTGGTGGTAGGAAAGGTTTCTGCTTATGTCTGGAGGGTTCTAATGATGCCTAGTTTGTGTTCTAGTGGGTGGTGTGAGTCAAAATGGAGGAACTGGTCAGTGGGGGTGGGGGGTTTCCTGTAGACTTCTATGTTGAGTTGTTTATCTTTCATGATGTGAACCGTGCAGTTCAAGAAGTCAAAGCTGTCATTGATCACATCTTCCTGAGTGAACTTGATGATTGGTCCGCTGCGTGGATGTGGTTTGTGAACATGTTGATATCCCTATTTTCTATTTTGACCCATGTGTTCCCATATAGAGCGTAGAGCTCTGCTTTCCACTTCTTCAGTGTATAAGTTACCCACTATTCGAGACACAGGAGAGCCCATCGTGCTTCCATGCTTCTGCCTGTAGAAGGCTTGGTTGAATTGGAAGTATGTGGTGGTGAGAGAACAGGTGTGGTTGGATTGGTCCTATCTGGCAGAACGTGATCTTGAAGTAAACGCATCCTTACTGTGGAGAATGCTTCTTTGCTGAGGATGGAAGTAAAAAGAGATGTGACATCATAGGAGACCATGGTTTCATCCGTGTCCAGTGTCAGGTTCTCTGTCCTGTTGGAAAAGTCCTATGAGTTAGCAACGTCATGTGGCGTGTTGCAAACCGCAGGAGCGAGAATGGAAGCAAGATATTTGTTAATGTTTTACGTGACCGAGTTAATGCTACTGATGATGGGCATGAATGGAGCTCCTTCCTGGTGTATTTTTGGGAGGCTGTAGATCTTGGAAACAGCTACTCCTTGGTACAGCCAGTAGAATTGGTGCCTTTCGATGGCTTTGTCCTTTTCTAACTGCTGAAGACTGTTATTGACCTTCTTCTTGTAGCTGCCGGTGGGATCTTTCTTCAGCGTTTCATAGTTGGCTGTGTTACTGAGGAGGGTTTTAACTCTGGCGTGATAGCCTGTTGTGGTAATGACCCATCATACTCCTCCAACGACCAGTAACCCCCCATGTGACCTCCATTGCCAATCCAGTAGGAGGGATCAGAGCCACCTTTTGTTTTCCCCTAGCATAATAATCTCAGCGCTCCCCACGTTCAGTTAGAACCGGAGAAGCTTCTTGGATGAGAGGAGAAACATCTTCTAGAAAACTTCACGTCAAGCAAAGACCCGGACAATATAGAATCTTCACAGCCTAAAGAGGTTTAACTGTTTTATATGTGAATAAGCGGTTTCTTATTTCTTCCAGTGTAAACTGTGAGCATGACGTTTACCTTCTCAGCCTGGTCCCACACAGCTATGTCACCCAAATACTTTTCTGGGCGGGTGGAGAGATGAAGCTGGAAGGAGAATCCAAACACGTCGTAAACACAGCGGAGGAAGTCCAGACAACCCTTCATCTCTGACTCGATCTGTTATTTTAAAAAATATGTAGAAATACAAAATAAAGTGTCAAAAGGTTTCACAGAGTTAAATCTGAAAAAAAAAAACATAACACAAAGACAGAATTACTTCACTCTATATTTATGCATATGGAGCAGAGTAATTCCCCCTTATTAGAATAATTTTTGACATTTTATAATTATGAGTAACCCTGCCTCTCGCCCATTGACAGCTGGAGATAGAAAATAAATAAATGTTACATCAGCTTACATTATGGTACCTTCATTTAGCTCATTGGACATTCCCATTTATGTATTTCATAATATAGTTTGGCCTTTTGCATACCTCAGGGATCACATCACATTGTTTTTAAAAACAATCTCGCCACTGTCCATTTTTCTGTCCTGCAACCCCCACTTTGGGAACCACTGGACTAGACAATCATCAAACAGGGACCTGCATGACTTTGTTTACAAACTTTGTCCTTAAATTTCATTTTTCATTAAGTTCACTTTTCATAGAGAAATATGAGGTAAGGAAAATAAGTATTTGAACGCCCTGCTATTTTTTGAAAGTCTATAACGTTCTGCTCTCTCTGCTTTTTCTCATAGTAGCTTCATCTGGTCTGTTCCTGTTTGGCTGT